CATAATTGAGGAATGACAAAGTAAAATATTTTCTTTCTTTTTCTTTGGATAATATTGTCAGAGTAACATGTTACTGTTTACATTAATTTTGACGGTAATAAATTTATTTATTTTTTTTAAGAATTTCATAGTCAATATGGATCTTTTGATAGATCTTGATGAGAGGATTCTAAAAATATAATTTTATTTAAAACCAACATTTATATCAAAAGTTATATTATTTTAAAATTTAATATTTTGATAATAGTGATATATGTTAGACTTTTCAAGAAAAAAATTTTGTACTTATCCTTAATGTATTAAAATTTTATTAGGAGGGGATTTTGACTAAGAAAAATGTCTCAGACCCCCTTTCTCCCCCACCCCCACCACCCCCACTGTTTTTTGATTGGCTCAAATTTTTTTTTTTTTCAGTCTTGAGAACACAGCCCCCCACGTAGAGCTGGGGGTGTTAGAGGTCACCCCCCACTGGGAGTCCCCAACACGATTGTTTGACTAAATTCCCTTTTTCTTATTTGCAAAAAATGAGTAATATTATTAATGAAAATGAAGTATTACAACTAAGAGGACTTGCTGAATCTGCATCATAGCAATCGAACTTATGCCAATTAGATTCACCCAAGAAAAATTATCAATTCATGTACAAGCAAGACCAAACAAGGACGTTGATCAGTGGACAACCGAGAAAGACTACAATGAGCACTAAACAGAACCATGTGATGGTAAGAGCACCCACAATGGATAGTGTCAGGTATCAAGTTTTAGCTAGCTGAAAATGTTGTTTGGGGTTGTAATGGAACTGTTAATGTGTGTGTTAGTCCTGTGTGTTAGTGTCAGATATTAATATATATGTTAACTGCAGCGAGCGTTTTAGCCAGCGAAAGAGAGAGCGAATGTGCTTTGGGGACGTCCCCCGGACGTCCGACCGGTCCGGCTCCAAATCCTTCAAGAAAAGAAAAAAAGTAAATTTTTTGGTCTTACCGGTTGACTGGCCGGACGTCCGGCAAGTTGACCAGTCAACGGCATTTTTTTTTTTTTTTACTTGTTGGGATTTTTTTTTGGACTTGAAATTTAATTTTGAGCTTGAAATTTTTTATTAAACTAAATTATTTATTTATTTCATTTATTATATACAAATATATATTTTTTAACACACACCCTTAACACATCCATTGTATCATCATTTATTCACTATTCACTCACTAAATTAACAAACTCTTAACACATATTTTTGGGTTCTACTTTTAACACTTTTTGCCATATAACACACTTTAACACATAACTTTAACACATCCATTATAGATGCCCTAAGTGATATCTCACCTACCACTGATCAAAGCGTGAGGCCTGATGTGTTTAATAAATTCTAAAGAAGAGATGAAGTCTTGAACTGAATAATCCATAATGTTTGCTAAAGTTTTCACCCAATATAATTTTATTATTATTATTATTATTATTATTATTACTTACAGATAAGGGTGTAGCTTGAATAGATTCGGGTAAGTTGACGAATTGTTTAGGTCTAACCTAAATTGCACTGAGAGTTACTTAGACCAACTAAAGACAAAATTGTAATATGAGGTTGTCTATTCAAGCCCGATCCGAGTTAAGCCCAACTTGTCTGAGTTGCCTATTACACCTAAATTTGTGATTTTTCTTTGGTGTAGCTAAGTTAATTAATTAGTTAAAATTGGACTTTATTAACAATTTTTTTTTTTTTATAAAAACATTAATAATATCAAAATAAATAATTCATATACTGTGAGAGAGATGGAGATGAAAGTGCTAAGAATTCAAGAACTGATATGTCTGTGTTGGTCTTTATAATGTTTGATGATAAAGTTTTAAATATAATTTGACGATTTAAATTATTTTAATATCATTCAACAGCCAATGATTCACATGTATATTGTACAATTTAGATTTTAGATTGCTCGATTATGTAGTGTCTATCTTAAACCGTCCAAATTTAATTTAAACTTATAAATTTTTGACTAAGCTAGCATCATATTCAAAAATATATTGCTCAAGTTTTAAAATAATTCCAACTCGACTCAGATTGCTCCCATAATTGCACTTCCTACTTACAGATGTGATGTCGTTATCATTAATTTGTATATCCTTTTCCTCCAACCTAGGGTGTAAATTTGGCCCGGCCCGGCCCATGTCAAGCGTCGTGAGCTCCCGCCAAAAGTTGGATCAGGTCGAGTTGGCCCATGGGCTAGAAAATTAGGCCCAGGCCCAAGGGTATTCGGGCCTTGGGCAAACCAGTGAGTTTGGGCCGGACTTGGGCGGACCTGTACATTTTTTTTTCTATCAAAATTTTATTATTTTTCACTAAAAAAAACATTGGGTCTCGGGCGAGCTAGGCCTTGTGTGAGCTTTAAATGGGCCGATGGGCCGGGCCCAACTTCAAAATGATGACCTAAGCCTAGGCCCAAGGTCTCGGGCCCCAACCCAACCGGGTCGGACCGCCCACAGGCCGGGACTATTTTTACACTCCTACTCCAACCATACACCAGCTTGCAGTAACACAGTTGTTTAACCAATGAAAATCTGACACCTAATAAATTATTTTATGTTTTGTAGATAAATAAATAAGGACCACTTGAAAATGCAACAAGTCAAGCGGTATTTTGGACATTTGACGGCAAATTCCTTTCATACCAACTGTTTTTCTTATGAAAGCGAATCAGTTTGTGTCTTTTTCTTTTCTTTTCTTTTCTAATTGGCAACTAATTCATTTCAAATGAATTTGTGTTCCCACTGGAAAATATGTGCCTTCCAAACAAGCCCTAAACAAAGAAAATTAAAACATGGCTGAACAAAGCCAAGTTAATTGTATTTGCATTGCTCGATAGTGCCATTATTGACTAAATCAGTTGTATTTGCATTGGTCGATGGTGTCATTGTGGACTATCAAGTCATCTTCCTCTATTGACTAGGGGTGGTTTAGGATGATCTAAATAAGTATACTTTTTAATTTTTTTTATGAAATATGAGTTGGGTATGGGTTGAATTTAAAGTGATGTGGTAGAGAAGTGATGTAACTTAAATAAGATGATGCGACTTAAATTAGATAGTGACTTTTTGATTTTTTAACGTTTTTAGGATATGACAAACAAGACCTAAATCAATTATATTTGCATTGGTCGATAGTGTCATTGTTGACTATCAAGCTATGACGCACGGAAATTTTAAAATTGTTGCATACTCGTATTCGATATTTATTTGGGTATTGGTATTTGTACCGATAGAGTATATGCGTACTGGGTACTCTTATATATTCTTTGACACTTAGGTACTCCGTAGGTACTCCATAGGTATAGAATGGGTACATCGAGAGTATACGAAACTATGGGACATTGATGGAAATACATTTAATTTATTAGAGATTCTGATTTATTTGAAATTGTAAATCCTTTACTTAATGTGTCATAGATGAAAGGTGTATTATTCAATAATGAAATTGATGGAAGTAAAAATTAAAATTTTAAGTTTTCAAGTTTTGCTGAGCTCACTTATGAAATGAAATTTTGTTTTGTAATTTCTCATATTTAATGTTATTAAAATATTTTGATTTGTAGATTGAATCTCAAAATTTAAAAAATAAATAATGAAAGAAATTATTGACGTATACCCCAATATCGTACCTGTATCCTATTTTTTTTTTCGGGGGGGGGGGGTTTCCATATTAGAATACCCGTAACGTATCCACACCCGCACCCGTGCTTCATAGCTATCAAGTTATCTTTCTCTCCAATCTACTATATGGACCGAAAAGATTAGACTGTATGTTCTATTTTACTAATATTAATTGTTTATTTTGTTAAATTGTGTACATAAGTTATTCATGAAAAATATCTAATTGATCTGAAAATCGTAACTATATGATTTTATTATATTTGTTTTAACCAAAATTGATAGTTAGCTAATTTTAAATTTTATACTTGTGATTTTTTTAGACAAATAAATGAAATAATGTGGCTCTAATTATTGGATTAATCAACAAAGAATTAGTGTGTATTGTAATTTTTTATTTATTAAAAATATCATATAAATAATATCATATGATATTTTTGAAGTATTTAATCATTTTTCATATATTTTACATATACAATTGCAATTATGTGTGAAGAGATTGTTATAACTCTTATAACTTACCAAATATATATAATGTCAGTTTTTTTTGAACAAGTATATATAATGTCAGTTAGAATTCATTTAATGAGGAGTAATGTTATATAGACTAAAATTCTGAATAAAATCTTACTAAAAGATATATGCATCTAAACATCATTAGATATTCAAGTATTACAATTTTTTTCATCACGAGAAGAATTCCTTTCAGTTCAAAATCTAGACTGAAGGGGGTTGTTTCGGCCTATGGGCCCATTATGAGTCTCGTTTCGATAATTAAAATCTTTCATTTTGTCTGGCATTTCATGTATTTCATTCAAAAAAAAAATTTAGTCGATCCGATAACTGTAACTTATTCAATTTACCGTGTTTTTACTAAAAAAATAGGTGACAATTGTATTTTTAAAAAAGGAACCATAAATTTTTTTGATGACAAAAATAATAAATTAAACAAGTTGCACTTATCGGATCGACCTAATTTTTTTTGTGAATGAAATATATGAAATGCTCGATAAAATGAATTAATCACATTTACCCTTTCATATTTTTAGTAAAATTTTTGGTATGAACGCTTCTATCTATAGAATTATTTTGTAATGACTTCAATAATGATATTGTGTGAACAGCAATACTATGTACCTAGTTCTTGTCCTCTTATGAGAGATTTGGTGGCAAAAGGCTAGCCATATAGGTTACAACCCCTTGTTTAACCTTGATGTACAGTTGAGATTGAATTGATGTATATACACGCAGAATGAATTTCGACCACATTAATATTTTTAATAAAATTGATAAAAATTCTGAATGTGTTTAGGGTTATTGTATGAACAATACATCTGACATTGGTGCCTTGGACATCTCACTAGAAACATCTATATAAATAGCTTGTTTTGGTTTCTTGATGCCAAACCATCCAAACATTATTACACAAAAAAAATACAGTTAAGTAAAGATTATTCTTTTTGCTTTCCATGCATATGGAATCCTCATTATTCTCTATTGAAACTCTGGTTAAGAAGATCAAAGAAGAGATGTTCACAAACTTTGATCTTTACTCATTTGTTTCCAAATCTGCTTATGACACAGCATGGTTAGCCATGATTCCAAGCACTCAACACTGTGATCATCCCATGTTTAAGGGTTGCTTGGATTGGATACTAAACAACCAGAAAGAAGAAGGGTTTTGGGGAGAGCTCGATAGCAATGGTGTTCCCACTATTGATAGCCTTCCTGCAACACTTGCTTGCATGGTTGCACTGAAAATGTGGAATGTTGGAGATACAAATATAACGAAAGGTACATATTATTATAGTAGTACTATTAAAATTTCACAAAAGTAGTGTATACAATATGACCCATCACTTATATCAAATTTAAAAATCTAAAAAACTCTCTCTCTAAAAAACCACCATCTCTGGCCTCACCACTGGCCAGCCGGCCGCCGCCTTTGGCCATGGCGGTTGGCTAGCCTAGCTTTTCTTCTTGTGTTGATGCTTTTTTCTCCTAATAATCTTGAGCCCCCATTTGTTTTCCGTTTTTCTCCTTTTCAGATCTACTCTCTAGATTTGCTTAGGTTGCTCTTTGTTTTGGGTGATTGTTTTCACAGCTTTGTTAGGTGGGTTTGGTGGATTCTTTCTTGGATTGAAGAGGTTCGGTGGTAGTGGTGCTTCGACCATGGGGTTCAGTTTCGGCCTTGGATTTCGGTTTACGGGAGTTGCGTTGACCATGGGTGGGTTGGTTCAGGAACTTCATTCGGGCACTTCTCTGCGAGCGGGAGTTTGAGGGGTGGAGGATCCAGAATTGTTTAGGATCTTCATTCGAGCGCTCCGTGTGAGTGAGAGTTTGAGGGTGATTTCTATTCAACTCTATGGTGGTCGGAGCTTGTGTTCGGTTAAGAGGAGAATGGAGCCGGGTCTACAAAGAGGGGTCTACTCAGCGTGTTGGTGAGGATCAACCGAGGGAGGTGTTTGGGAGAGGAAAACCGTGGGAGAAATTTAAGATAGAAACTGGATTTTCAAGGTAGAAGCGTGGTGAAGAAGAACCGAACCAGTGGCTGCTGAAGAAGAACCAAAGAAGGAGGTGTAGACACCCCATTTTTGACCACCCTTAAGACTTGGACGCGACTGATGGTTTACATTGTGGAGAAAGGTGTGCAGGGCAAAGGTTTAATTTCTTCGGTAAGAGAAGAGTCAAGTCCTAACCTTACACCCCATTTTGGACCAAAGCTATTTTGAATCGTTTTTAGACTTTAAAACCCTCTCTTTCAAAACATTTTTGAAATAAAATTCCTACGATGTTCCGAGGCTCGCATTTTGTTAAATGTTATGCTTTTCGGTAAACCGAGCAAGGACAAAGTGGAAATGAATGAAAGAGAGATGAAATCTTTGAAAAATCTTTCAAAACACCTTACTTAGGGGTTTGGAGTTGAAGAAAAGAAGAGAAGAGAGAAGAAACTAGTTTGGGAGAAGTTCGGCATGAATCCGGGTAAGAGAGAGTCGAGCAGCCCTCGCTGAATCGAGATTATTCATTTTCATACTTGGATTCTAGCTATGCGGCTACCACCGTTGGAAAGCTTACTTCTGGGGCTTCATTGGGGCTTCATTTTTCACTCAAGAATCTCCTAAAGCCAATTCCGGACGGGAGAGATATGATTGGTTGAAGTAGGGCATCACTCCGGTTGGACCGAATCTGCGCGGCTTCACCAAAACAGGCATAACTTTTTGCATAGGAGGAATTTTGATGCAAGGTTTGTGCCATTGGAAAGCTAACTTCTGGGGCTTTAATTGGGACACCTGGTTGACCACTTTTGGACTTTCCAATCACTGGCCGACCACCTTTCTTTCCGGCAGACCAATTTTTTGTCCTGAAAAACCAGGAAAAGTAGCAGGCCGACCATAAAAGGTGGTCGGCCGACCACTTATGCCCAGAAAGCTCAAAATTGATAGATATTTTCCCTCCAGTTGTCTTCCACAACCTCCAACTGTCCTATAATCAGATATTTTCGAGCCAACTCTCATTTTTTGCTATATATGATGATATATCTCCCATTTTTCAAAGAGCAACTTCTTGGAGAAGCTTGGGAGCGTCTCACTCTAAAAAAAGTCTCTCTCTCTCTACAACTTCCAGACCTAAAACCTCTGCCTCTCTCTCATTCTCTTGCCCATGTGTGCATAACATAAGCTATACTTAGAGATATACCTCTCATTTGCCTAGGCACCCTTGATCAAACTCAACTACCATTGGGCTGAGGTTCTTTGAGGATCATTTTGAGCTCCAAAATCTGGTTTTAGCTCAGAGTTTGGACCCTTTTTGCTGCTGTCTTCTTGAGCTTCAAGAGTAAGCACCTATTTCCCTTAAACTTGCATTTTTTTGATCCATTGATTAGCCATACTTGCAAGTATTTTTGGACTTTTTCATAAACTAAAAAGTGTCATATTTTGAGCTCCTCTTGAATATTGATTAAGGACACTTTTCTGTTTGAGGTCTCCTACATCCTTGTATTCTTTATCCCTCTTTGTAGGCCTATTTTGCATCATATCTTAGTCCTACTTGTGAGCATTTTCGAGATTTGTCACAAACTAGAAAAAGTTTCCTTTTGAGCTTATAAACATGTTTACTTAAGGTCACTTCTCTGTTTGGGGTCATCTCTCCCCCTTTCATGCTTTATTTCTTCATGTTTTGAGCTATGCATGTGAGTATTTGCATTGGCCTTGGTTTGGCCTCTTAACCACTGAAATCCAGTGGATTTTCAATGGCTTGGATGTGTTTTTGAGAGCTAAAATCAGAGGGGGGTGACCCTCTCTCTCCTTGTTTTGTTTGTTGGCCTTTTTGGCCTTCCAAAGGCTCCCTCACTTGCATGTTGTGAAGTCACTTTTTGGGCCCAATTCGGTGAGTTTCAAGGTCTGCCCTAGCTCTTTCTGGGGCCTCTTTGACCATATTTTGTGTCCATAATGCATGTGTAGAACAATTCCATTCAAGGCCTTTTGAAGGGGCCTTTCATTGTATGCTTCATTGACCCATTCCAGGGCCAATTTGGTGAGTTTTAGGCTTGTCATAATTGATTTCTAGAGTTGGTTTTTCCATGTTAAGTGTCCTTGTTGTATGTGTTGAGTAATCCCTTTCATGGCCCTTCAAAGGAGCTCATCATTTTTGCATGTGTTGGATGCATTTCAGTGGTTATTTGGGGCTTATTTGACATATTATGTTCCTATTTTTGGTTGGTTCGAGGACCTCTCTTATGCTTCATGTACATGCCATGTAAACCATGCTTACTAGCCTAGGTTGCGTGTTGTTTTAGCCCTTCATGTTAGCACATTTTGGCCATGTCTTAAACTGATAATATGCTTATTTTGGATTGCCCTAGCTCTGTTTTTGGGTCTCATGGTTGAATGATGTTAGTTTTGCATGCTTGTAGTTCAAGGCCCATGCTTAGCTTTGAGTTTTGAGATCCATTCCATGCATATACTGAGGTGTTTTCATGCCTTGGGATCATCTTTTGTCAAATTTCAGAGCTTATATGAATGCCATGTTGCCATGTTTTCATCTCTTTAAATGCGTTTGAGAGTCGGGCTTGTATGCCTCATTTACCGACCATTGAATGAGCTCCATTTCGTTGCATTCCGAGCCATCATTTTAGGCCATTTCCCCACTGTTTCAGACCTACCTAGGGTCTGTTTGGGGTTAGTTTTGCCTTTGGTGCATTGTTTTGGATACCTCTAGTGTAACGCACTTCACTAGTTTCGGTACCTGGGCCTCCTAGCTTGCATTGTGTGACATGGTTGCATGTTTCGGGACCACCTTTTATCACATTTCAGAGCTATATCATGTGTCATTGTATGCCATCTTTCATCCCTTGCCATGCTTTGGTAGAGTGGCATTTTATGCCTTAGGTTCGATCCTCGGTATGCATGCACGTGCGCACGCATTTCGGTTGTCTCTTTCCATCTCATGGCCACTGATGTGAGTGTGGCTGAGGTCCACTCATGATTAGTGTAAGTCCATCGTGCATTGTGTTTGTCATTTCGGTCCATAGCATTGCGTATGCTAGATTGCATGTTAGAGCATCGTGTATGCCATGTCACATCGAGCATTGTGTATGCCATTTCATAGCATTGCGTATGCTAGGTTGTATGTTAATCGCATTGTGTATGCCATCTCATTTGCTTTTGACCCTTTTGAACCTTTCTTGAAAGTTGGTTTTTCTCTCTCTTGGGTTACTTTTTCTGGTTTTTCACCACACTGCTGTATTCTACTCATCTGGGAGGCCACCTTTCTGGGTATGCCGACCAGCAATTTTGCTTGACCCTTTTGACCCCTGGTCGGCCGACGAAGGGGAGTGGTCGGCCGCCCACCTCAGCTGGTTGGCCAGCTTTCTACTTTTTGCTCTTCTCAAGTGCAACACAGTTGTGCCAGCTGTTAAGCACTTGACCCACTGTCCGAGATTTTGAGTCTTTTGTTGACCTTTTTAAGTTGGTTTTGACCCTCTTGCTTAGCTTCTTAGGGAAGTTTGACCCTTTTGGTTAAGCTTCTTTAAATCATCATTTATTCACTATTCACTCACTAAATTAACCAAACTCTTAACACCCATTATTTTGGGGTTCTACTTTTAACACTTTTTGCCATATAACACACTTTAACACATACTTTTACACTCCATTATAAGATGCCCGAAGTGATATCTCACTACCACTTGATCAATAGCGTGGAGGCCTTGATTGTGTTTAATAATATTCTAAAGAAGAGATTGAAGTCTTGAAACTGATTAATCCATAATGTTTGCTAAAGTTTTCACCCAATATAATTTTATTATTATTATTATATTATTATTATAACTTACAGATAAGGGTGTAAGCTTGAATAGATTACGGTAAGTTGACGGAATTGTTTAGGTCTTAACCTAAATTGCACTGAGAGTTACTTAGACCAACTAAAGACAAAATTGTAATATGAGGTTGTCTATTCAAGCCCGATCCGAGTTAAGCCCAACTTGTTCCTGAGTTGCCTATGTACACCTAAATTTGTGATTTTTCTTTGGTGTTAGCTTAAGTTAATTATTAGGTTTAAAATGGGACCTTTATTAACATTTTTTTTTTTTATAAAAACATTAATAATATCAAAATAAATAATTCATATACTGTGAGAAGATGGAGATGAAAGGCCCTTAAGAATTCAAGAAACTGATATGTCCTGCTGTTGCGTCTTTATATGGTTTGATGATAAAGTTGTTAAATATAATTTGACGATTTCAAATTATTTTTAATATCATCAACAGCCAATGATTCACATGTATATTGTAC